CACTCAGCAGCCAGGAGTGTATTTCGTCCGACTACCTAGGCATACATCCTCGGCCATGCACCCTGAAGGCCTTGTGGAATTGCTCTGCGTCCTTCTGGTTCTCGCCTACAATGTCTGCGGGCATCGTTTTGCAGTCCAGGCGGGACGGAAAATCACGGTCGTCACACCCACCACTCGGGTTTTTGACTCCCTCAAGCATGGTCTAGGCCTCAGCAACGCGCGCCCTGCCAACGCCGACACTGGTGACGCGCACCGAGTAGTAGCTGAGGGCACATCCTTTGCGGAGTTCATATCGGACTGGTTGCCAGAGCTCCCTCCTCCGGGACAACTCGCCACCGAGGCGCAGGCCGCATCCCTCTTCGCCTTCTTCTACGATCATCACAACGAACTGGGCGCCTTTGTTGACCTTTTCACCACTACGGTATGTGCAGGCACTACGGGGGCGGTCGACATCTGTATTATTGACAGGGCCGGGCGCTTTACCATGACAGGAGAGGATGCCCATCAGCGGCTCACGGCCGGCAGCACGCGGCCCACGGGCCCATTGATCATCGCCTCCCCCTCTCATTGGTGGGGCATTCCCGCTGCATTGGAGCTCCACTCTGTCCTTCATCACACCCACGTCCAATGGGAGGAGTTGTACAGAGCTTATGGGCTCGCCAAGCTTGGGATACCCAGCCCCCCACGTGAGGACAAGGAGACCGCCAAGGAGTTTTACGAACGATGGGCTGTGAACCGTGTCCCCTCGCTCTGTGAGGCTACAGCCGTTGCAGCGCACAGTGGCATGGATGGCTACCCGGTTCAGCTCCTCCTTCGGGGTGTGGACTTTGAGCACAGTGGACCGCGGGGCCAGGCCATCACGGCGCGACCGTTCTATCCGGTCATCGACACCGAGTGCCCCATCTTCGGACTGCTGGAGTTTACTAACCCGCCGAGGTTCGGGCTCCATCGCCTCCGTGAACACAAGGGAGGGGGCGTGCCTCCCCCCAAAAGGCTATACAGTGCGCTCCGCTCCACCCACCACCGGTCTATCGTCGGGTCACACATGACTTGCGCTGAGCCAGCGACCGTGTGCCGGGGCCAAGCCGGTGCTTCGGAGTCGACAGTCATTGCCGTGCCGGGAGCATTCTATCTCTATGCTATCGCCTCTGACACGGTCAACACCAAGCTGCTTGGGAGGTTACAGCGTTACGTGTCGTCGCACATACGCCATTCCTGCCCTGAAGCGGCCTTGCTACCGCCGGTGGCTACTACGGGCCTTCCACGAGCCCTATATGATCCGGCGGGAGCAGTACGCCCGGACCCGGACACCGGAGTGCCTGCCAAAGAGGATCCGACGCTGACCGCCGAGCTGCGCAGTCAAAGCTGTGCTGTCTCCCTTCCGGTTGCACCTACCGCCACATGGACCCAACGTGTGGCGGATCTATTGGAAGCGGTCGAAACCCCGCCTTGTCGCCTTGTGCCGGGAGTTACCTCAATTGCCAGCCGGTGCGTACCGGCAGAGGATGAGGATGAATTCGCAGAGCAGCATGACACGCTCCGGCGTTACCAAGCTAGGGGCAGAATCCAGCAGCCGGTCGATGGAATAAACTGCGCCGGGGCGCTGCAGCATTTACTCCCCAGCTCTACGGATGCCTTACCCTGCTTTCCCTCCCCTTGTCGCTGCCCGCCTGTGAAGTCAAGCTCAGCCCCCAGAACTTTGGGGTGAAAGTCGTGGATTTTGCCGATCGAGCCCTCATGTTGCGGCGCTGCGCTGAGAGTGAAGCCTTTCGCGTCTGCTTGACACCACTGCTTGCTGTGTCCGTGGCACTGGCACAGTTCTGTGACCCAGTTCTACGCCTGCCTGAAGGACAGGTTTTCGACCTTTCCTGGTATGAACTTGCCCGTCCTGAGATTTGGTGGTGGCTGCTCCTTGATGAACTCGCGGGACTTAAGGGCTCGCTTCCCCGGGCTCTCGAAGGGCGGAAGTCCCCCGTCCGGGATGGCAGCCTGGTGCAGATGTCCTTGGCTCCCAAGCGCGACCCCACTGCCAAGCCAGATCCACTGCCAACAAATAGCCGACGGGGCGCTGGTTCTAGCCAGCGGCGCAACATCGGGGGAGGCAGCACGAGTGCTGAGGTGACACAGGGCACACCATTACAACATTGCGGCGTGCTGTTGCCTGTGCAGCTGTTATTCTTCCTCACCCGAGCGCTAGCCGACGACCCTTCGGCCGCCCCACTCCTGCAGCTCACCAACGTTACCCCAGCCCGAGACGGCCAACATATTGAGGTGCGGGTCACATGCAAGGTTCCAGCTGACTTGGTAGGCCGTCCTCAGATTGCCATTGCGGACCGATTGATGGCGGGCTTTGAGAACGGACTCCTTCCGGCCAGACGCGGTGAGTTTGAACCGCGCATGTTCACGTATCCTGGCTCCTATCGCGGCACTTTTCGACTGCTCTTCCCGCTTGCGGACATTCTGCTGGGGTTACAAGCTCAGCCGTCGCTTGCGATTCAAGCTGCCGGGTTACTGCACAGCGCCCTGTGGCGTCTTCGTGCCGCGGCCACCTCCGAAGGCTGGGATCTCCGCGCGGTTGTCGCCTACTGGATTCGTGGGCCGCAAAAAAAGAAATTTTACTTTCCGACCCGCCTGTGGCGCTTTGCGCACTTCGACGCAGTGGAGGCCAAAGCGATGGCCCTCCTTCAAAGGTTGGTCGCCCAGGAGGAGAGCCGAGCACTGCCACCACCGGATGGCACCCGCCCCTGGTTCAGGCTGGGGCACCCTCAGGCACAGGACCGCTGGAAGGCTGCGGCGGATGAATTCCTCAGAGAAGGGGGCCTCGGACCCGGCCTCCAACTTCCCTGCATATCCACGGAACTGATGCCATACCTTCATAGTGAGGACCACGACAACCACCAATACTCCTACTCACGCTTGAAGGAAATGTACAATGAAGGGAACTATCAAATGCTCTATCTTCTGAAGGAGAGTCACTTCCCCTCGAGTGGCCGTGACATGCAACGCCTACTCGACAGCTGGCCGTACGATGCAGCGACCGGCTCCACTAGGTGACCTCCGCTCTATGCGACCTGGGACCGACGACATACGTCGTTGTGTCGATATTCTGGAAGTTGAGAGAGCTACATAGCCCTGAGTAACATTGCGTCTCACGAGACGGGCAGGTGGTATCCTTCCGCCCTGCATCCATAGTTCGATCGTGCCGGCTCGGCGGCTCATTCTTCTGGCCCGCGGAGGGCCTCGATCTGATGGCACGCCGACCGACGACATACGTCGTTGAGGTCCGATCGCTAACTTCTGCACACCAGGGGTTCCCCATATTCCACACCCTTGCCTGGTCACTTGCACGGTGCCCCGACTTGGTTGCGTCGTGTTGCGCAGCCAGCACGTCGACATACGTCGATGTCCGTTTTCTGATCCCCGCACGGCCCTCTCTTCCTTGCTTCTTGGCATGTTCGTGGAATGAGATGCCGGCCAACGTCAATACTCGGGCTTCGACATGTTTCAGATTACCTCATTTAGTGACATCGACCCGGTCTTTGTCACATTCGCACTGTCCCTTCCAGCGGGGCGCGAACTGCGTGGTCTTGAGGGACGCTTTGACGGGTATGGGCAAAATTTCTTCCAGTTGATCCCGGGCGTGCGGATGCCGTCTCCCGCACGAGACAGGACTCTTGCCATGGCTCAGGCTCTGTCTTGGGTGACCCGCTACCTTGGAAGTTCTGTGCGTTGCGCTGCCGGACTGACGCACACCAGGCGGTTCCCACGGCCTACACCCTTGCCTGGTCTGACTGTGCGCGTTGTTTGGCGGAATTGACCGCCGGCAGCCAATCCACCACAGGATTTGCACACCGTGGATCGTCTGTCTCGATCCTGGGTTACGGCCATTTCTGGCCGGCTTTGAGTCGCAACGACTCGGGCACCGACAGACCTGAAGCCCTTCGCTCCGGCGCATTGGACTTTTGGACTTTGGTGTGCTCGACCGTGACGGAACAAAGCGCAGGGGCTGCCCGTTGTCTGACGAGACTAGAACGGCGGCCGGAGCTTGGTCTTGGCTCCACCTGTTGCTTTGGGCAGCTCAGAGCGACGGCTCTTTGTTGCTTCTGATCGGTCGCTGAGGCTCCGTAGTTGGGCTGAACGGCTAACACCGGCAAAGCCTGTGCGCCGCAGCCCTTGTAGAGCTTCGCTTTTGGTCTCACCGCTTTGTAGTTTTTGTTGCTTGTTTGCAGTCTGTTTGTTTATAGGGACCGAGTGCTACAGCCGTAGTCGACGAGGCCCGTTCACGCCAAAAAAAGCCATGTCCGGCAAGCGGCGTCAGACTCCTAACAGTTCGACCCATCCTGCCCTCTGTAAAGGACCCAAGAGCGATAGCGTGGTTCGGCATCATGTTCAGAATGTCTCGATGCAGACCAATGCAAGGGGTTCAGCACCACCGCGATGGAAGTCCAAGTCGCATCGTTTTTTTTGGCTTGACAGGGTCTCGTCGACTACGGCTGCAGCACTCGGTCCCTACAAACAAGCAGACGACAAACAATCAAAACTACAATCTACAACAAAGCGGTGAAACTGAAAAAGAAGCTCTACGAATGGGCTGCGGCGCACGGACTTTACCTGTGTTGGCCGTTCAGCGCTAACTACGGAGCCTCAGCGACCGGTCCGGAGCAACAAAGAGCCGTCGCTCTGTGCCGCCCAAAACAACAGGTGGAGCCAAGACCAACTCCGTTGTCTTTTTGGTGGAAACAAGTCGATGAGGCACGTCGTGCAGGTTGGCGGCTGGGCTTATGGGTGGCCTTTTGGACGAGGCGGGCTTTCATTTCTCATTTTGCGAACATGAGCATGCCAGCATGCTGTTGGCAGGTGCGGAGCTAGGGTCCAGCCTCTAACAAGTGGATGAGTGCAGCTGTTGTTCGCGCCGGTTTGCATTGCAACTTGCTGGTGGAGCTACCTCTGTTGCCACCTTGCTGCACAGTGCTTTGGTTCAAATTCTGGAGAGATTCGCAATGCCGCCGAAAAAGCGCCCCGCTGCTGGACCACTGAAGGACGGCGTCAATAGGTTTCCTGCAGACTTGAGACGGATCTGCCCAACTGCATTCCGCGACCCAGCCTGGCAGGAAAGTCTCTGGGAGAAACAGCTGCGACTGGCAGTGGACCGGCTCGAGATCGCGCAGAACGGTTTGAAGACGGCCAAAACCAAGAAGGAGGTCGAGGCGGCCAAGAAGGAGGTCGAGGCGGCCGAGAAGAAGGTCGAGGCGGCCGAGAAGAACGGGTCCAGCCCAGGCCAGGTCAGCTTGCACTTGAGGGGTCTCCAGGCTAGTTTTGGTGCATGAGGGTCGACTCAGGTTGCGGTAGCTTCTAGATTTGGTGTTGTGGACGTTCGCAGCTTGAGGAACTGCCGACTCCAAGTTCGACGACGAAGCTCCCCCCAAGCTTAAGCTTGAGAAGTTCAAGGCCGACGAGCTGCTCAAGGTGGAGGCTTTGAAGGACTTCGTGGCGCCCAACACGACCGCTGCCAGACCGCTCTTCCTGCGACAGCATCTCCTCAAGGTGTACAACAAGGCAGTGGTGGCTTTGCAGGCGAAGCAGATTCGCCTGGTGTCGCTGGTCGGCTGCCCCGGCACCGGCAAGACGTGGTGCGAAGGTGGGCAAGAAGACCCTGCACCTCACCATCAGGAACTCGACCGTGACGGCCATCGCCAACTTCCAGGTGAAGAAGCAGTACACGAAGGTGAGCTGGAACGAGTACATGCTTGAGCAGGTCCTGAGAGAGTCGGAGTGCCAGGTCTGCATCGTGGACGTGAGCATGGACAAGCCGGATGCGGCCACCACATCTTCATCGGCATCCGGCAGCTGATCGAGGACGGAAAGTTCGCTTGCGTGAAGTTCATGGGGCTGCTGTCCGGCGGCCAGGAGAAGATCACAGGCAAGCAGTTGAGTCTGCAGGTCATACAAAAGCTAGTGCTTTGGAGCTGGAGCGAAGAGGAGGTCGCCACTCTATGTACAAAGCTGAAAGATGCATCGGAGCCTCCATCTGACGAGGCCTACAAGGTGTGTGGAGGATCTGTGCGGTATCTCTTCCGACACGAAGAAGACGCGAACAGAACTAGAGAAGCCGTGAAAGGGCTCTCCCAAGATGAGATGCAGAGGTTGCTTTCCCTGGATATGACCGTAGACGACCAGCAGGGGAAGAACCGCAGCAGACTTCTCTCGTTCTTTCCCAGCAGTGGTAAATCCAATGCAACTGATGAGAGCTTCGCAAAGGGCGTCAGCGAAGCACGGCCGATGCCCCGCTCCGACTTCGTCATCAAGTGCATCAAGGAGAACGAGAACGTGAAGTTCGAGGACGTGCTGAGCATGTACCGGAAGCTCTCGGGCATGAACCCAGGCGCTGCCGGCAGTGCCTTTGAGATCCTGGTCCACTTGTTCTGGCGGGAGGCTGCCGCGAAGGAGCAGAAGGTCCAGCTTTCACTTTTTAAGGGCGAGGAGGAGGAGGTCGGTAAGGTGGAAGTGGACTTCGAACAGCTGAGCCGAGATCCCTCGTTCCAGAAGAAGCCTAAAAGTATCGAAGAGTATGAAGAGGAGGCCGTCGAGGTCGTCGAGAAGACTCTACTTCACGCCTGCCAGCAGGCAATATCGTGCGCTGGACAGCATTCTCAGGTTCAAGTCTGCCGGCAAGACCGAGACCGAGGTGCTGGCCATCCAGATCAGCACGTTAGAGGCACCTTATGAGTTGTTTGGCCTGCTATGCCATGTTTGTTTTAGGAGGTCCTTGCCATGCGATTCGACTTTAAGACATCGAGGATTTCCGGGCAGTCACAACGAGCGTCGAGCCTCCAGATTTGCACGCGTCTTGATTGCAGGATAAGCGCCAGTCGTGGGCACCGCCTTGCTGATTGCTGGCTGCTGCGCTGCTACGGCCGCTGCTGCTGGCACACTGCTGTTAGTGCCACTGCTGTTGCTGCTGGGCTCGGCGCTGTTGCTGCTTGGCTTCCGGCTGCTGCTGCTGGGGCTGCCTGCTGCTGGGGCTGCCTGCTGCAGGGCTGCTGCTGCTCGGGGCTAGCATCAGGCTGTTGCGGCAAAAGCTGCGGCAGCGGTTTACGACAGGCTCCGTGGCGATTGGCCACGCCGGCGGTGGGGACGACGACCGACGACGACGATGGGCTGCAGGGCTGGAAAGAGGGGCAACGACAGCGATCGACTCGGATGTCGCAAGTGTCTCAGATGGCGACGATGACGACGCGACGATGACGACGGCGGGCGAATAGGCCGGGAACAGGCCGCGACGACGGCGCGCGGAAGGCAGGGCGAGGGCAGACCAACGACGGGTGAGTGTGGGGAGATCTCGAAAGGCCGTGGTGGGTGAGAAATAGGCAGACCCAGCCTTCTGAACTTCGCCTCCCAGGGTCGTTAGCTGGGCTCCATGCTTTTCTTCCACCTCGTGCAGGACCTGGGCTTGGAGTCGGGAAGATCCATGGAGGGCCTCCATGTGACTTGCTAGTTCACACACTCCCTGATGTAGAGTGCCCACGACCATGCCTATCTGCTCGGTCAGGCCACCCAGTGCTGCTGTCCGGAGGTTCACCCTCTCGTTCAGGGACAGGATTGCAGCCTTCAGGTCAGAAGCGATGCCCTCGTCCATCTGGATCTCATTCTTGAGCTCCTTAATCATCTCCTTCGGGACCGAGAGCTGGTGCATCTGCTTGAGGGTGATATTGTAGGAGCCCTCTGACGCTGCTGCTTCTGCTGCTGATGCCGCTGCTGTGCTGCTGGTGCTTAAGTGAGGATTAGGGTACGGAGCCTTGGGCAGGTCTTGGGCTCATAACCTGCTGAATTTGGGCTGAGGGTGCAGGCTCCCAAGCACGGACCTCGGGGGAGGGGGTATGTCCGGCTGGGCTTAAGGCCATGCGAATGCAGTGGGGTACATCAGAAGGGGCCTCAAGTGGCATACCTCAAGCCACCTTGAACCTTCCCGAACCCCACGAAGCCCCCAGGAACCCGGAATCCCGGTCCTGAAACACCAACCCTCAAAACTCACCACTCACACCAACACTTTTCCTTGAGCCAAACATCATCCATCCAGAATCTCAGCCTTTCCCAACAACACTTTGCGCACCGACTTGAATGTCACGGCGCCACTCCGGTTTCACCCTGACTTTGTTGAAGGCGCGGGGCCGACGCACCTGAAGGGGCGTGGCTTTCCCGCCTGTCCCAGACATTTCCTGAGAGAAGTGAGTTGCACAAGAGAGCGTCTGTTTGCAAAGAGCATCTGCGCATGCGCAGCCTCAGTTTATACTTGCAACATGTGGCAAGGAGCCTGGAGCCCGTCACGCAAGTCCCTGAGGCCCAACTCAGATGCTTTGGCCCAGGCAAGAGCTGGACCCACCGGGTTGAGGATGTCGCGGCCTTGGGCTGGGTCCTGAGGCCGAGGTTTGATTAACCGAAACCTTGCAGATCTTTTCAATTCCAATAGGCAGAGGTTTCCTTAGCTAGTTCTCTCTCGTTCTCTCTCTTTCTCTCTCTTTCTCTCTCTTTCTCTCTCTTTCTGTCTCTTTCTCTCTTTCTCTCTCTCTCTTTCTGTGGCTGTTTTGTTGTTTGCTCTCTTTGTCTCTTTGTCTCTTTGTCTCCCTGTCTCTCTGTCTCTGTCTCTCTCTATCTTGCTCGCTCGCTCGCTCGCTCTCTCTCTCTCTCTCTCTCTCTCTCTCTCTCTCTCTCTCTCTCTCTCTCTCTCTCTCTCTCTCTCTCTCTCTCTCTCTCTCTCTCTTTCTCTCTTTTGTCTCCTCGATGTGCAGCTGGCGCATGCAGCTGCGACTTCATGCGGTCTTCAACTGCCGATGATCTTAAGCACCAGGGACGTCGAGTTTCGGGCAAAGATGGGAAAGACCGGATCAAACTCTGCTCCTCTGGCTGCGTCACTTGCATTTGTGATGCACTAGCAGCGTAGTGAACTCACCCTGCCCCCAGCTCTTCTAGATCTCAGCTTCGCAAACGGCTGAGTGGTTTCGAGGACCCACACGTGTGAGACTCCCCTCAAACTTTAAAGCGTTCAGGGCCTGGTGTGTCTAGGGCATTTTGTGGTTCCCGACGCATGCTTCAGATCCCTACTTCCAGGCCCTGAGTGGTAAGGAGGCGTAGCCGCACAGCAGTCATTTAGCCCTAGGGAAAGTGTTTGTGGTTTTGCGTCCTGATGTCAGCACTGGAGGGGAGGTCTCCGCATCAGCCTGAGCGGCAAGCTGTGGTAGTTGTGCAAACATTGGGTATGGGCTTCGAAATCGGACTTCAGTGTGTTTAGGGCGAGTGTTCACGCAATCCAACCACGTCGAAGTTCGAAGGCCTGATGGAACGGGTCCCAGACTGTACTCTCCCTGGTCTCTCGCCCGCAGCAAAGGAACTCAAAGGAACCTGAAGGTCGACTAGGGGTCCTCACGGGGCATAGGTTTGGTCTTGGATCTTCTTGGGAGCACCCTCTGTGGCTCTCAGTTTTGGGCAGTCGATTCGAATTCAAAGGGCTACGTTTGAAGTCCCAAGAGCTGTACACCTTGGGGCCTGAAAGCCGGAAGATCCGCTCTCAGGTGCATTGGCTGCGGCGGAGGGATGTGAGACGAAGTCTGAAGCTTACAACGTTCGCAAGTTAGTATCGCTGTCATCCCGGTCGCCAGTCATCCCCTGCACCACAGCTGCGTGACCGGCCGAGACCTTTGCCTGAGATGCATTGGATTCCGTTGGATGTCGCGGGTAAACTTTCAACGCCAGTTAGCCGGGTGACTTCCAGAAGCAGTTCGGGAAGTTCGGGGAAGGATGTTGATGGCTAGTGACGCCTTTGAGGGCCTGTCCTGGATCTCACGAGAATCCACTCTCTTGACTTTGGGGTGTTAGGGGTCTGGGCTTCGGAATAAGCGACAGGGCTTGCTTGGACTTTCAGTGTGCGCTTTAGATATCAGGTCTAAGGTCGAAGGTCTGATGTGGTTAGGGCAGCAAGGTTGAGAGAATCAGCATCGATGTGGGTCGGGGGCTGGTGGTCTAGGATGTCAGTTTCCATCCCGCCTACACCTCACTTCGGACCTTTTTTCTACCGTCTGAGGCCGGTTTTGTTAAAACCGATGTTTGGCGGTCCGTACTGAACGGTCGTCCAAGGTACTTCAAGGTACTCCTCTGATGAGGCCCCTGCCCAAGTTGACCAAAAGCCAAAATCTAGGCCAGTCGTCTTGTTGACTTAGTGTGGATTCGGGTTTCTGCTCTGAAGGCTTCTCGAGGATTGGATGGGTCGTCTAGACTTCAACACGGCGCCTGCATTACTGTCTATGGTGGGTGGGAATGCATAAAGGGCCAATGTAGTCAGGAGTCACTAGGCAGAGCCAGCAAACGGATCCTCATGTGGAACAGCATGAGTCTCCGCAGCTTCACGTGCACCTTGTGCCGTTTCTGACGATGTCTAATCTTTGAATGATGGTGGGTGCAGATCGGGACCTTGCTACGGTAGGGTCCACACCATCCTCCACCCTGAATCGGAAAACCATGGAAAACCATGGAAAACCCCTAAACGATCTAGAGTTCGGCTATTCCCGATGACCTTGTGCTGTCCCTTCTCCGCGGATGTGTCAGTGTGCTGCTGCGCCTTTTGGATCCTTTTGGTCTTTTCGCTGTTGGCCACTTCGTAACCGGTAGAAGAACGTCCGATTCACCCTGCGCCTCTCCAGAATCGTAGAAGTGCTGTCATGTTTTTCTGTTTTTTCCTTCTGTTTCACTTATGCCCTGCTCGAGGATCGTGCGGCATGCACCAAGCTGTCGAGACAGCAGTTCCCAGAACTTTTCGCAAGGTCGTCGGCCCGGGTTGCTTGCGGTCTTCCTGCGGCGGAGGCGCCACGGACTCGAGGAATCTGTGTGGTGTCTGCTGCGAAATTTCTCGACGGCTGCAACTCGTTCGTGATGCCGTGGGGTTTTCTAGATTCTAGCTAAGGGTCTGCACAGGGCCTCACTTTCAAGTCGGAAAGAGGTGGCCGGGAAGGGTCAGGGGCGGCTTCAAGTCGGTTGGGATGTTAGGGTTTGGGATTTCAGTTCTGCTGGAGAGAATCCCTCTGTTGTACCTGAGTTTCCTCTCTTGACTATTCGTTTGCGAAGCTGTCTGGCGGAGATTTCGGCTCAGACTCGGAAAAGCTTCCAATGCCCTTAAGGTCAGGTGCTTCGAAGAACCTTTATGCGATGTTTGAGGGCACGAAGTTCTGAAGTTCCAGGTTCCAAAACTGATGACCAGTTCAGCTCGGAGAGGGTGTTCCACTGTGGGGTGTGGGGTTTTCTTCCGGTGGGGCTGCAAAGCATAGGCCCAAGGCCTCGTGTTTCGAGCCCATGTTCTGCTGCAAGTCGGGGAAGTCTCCGACGTCGCTGGAGCAGTATGCGAGATCCTTGCCTGAGGACACTGGCGTCGCTGGGCATGTATGAAGCACCATACTTTCGTCTTTTCATGAGAAGAAGAGGCGAGTCTTTTGCGGGGCAGGGCCCGAGGCCTGTGGGAAAGTACCAGCCGAGCTAAGTCTCCGGCAGAGGTCGGTTTTACTGTTGGAGTTCGGGCACTTGCAACGCACCTCAGGCTCCTATGTTATTTCCCATGTACACCGTTGCCGTGGAAACATTGCTGCAGATGAGACAAATCCAGCCACACGAGGAGCTGAAGGCCGAATACCTCCCAGGGCTTTGCACGATTACACGATTACACAAGCCGGTGTCATTCAGGAGTTCGGTGAGGTACGGAGTAATGGACTTTGCATCATGAGTTGCCCGTTTCTGGTCAAGCGCAGAGATGACGCATGATTCACGCCGCCGTGGTTGAAAGTTGCGGGAGTAGGGTGTCTAGAGTTTAGGG